GTAATGTGTGTTATAATCAGCTGAACCCGAGTGGAGTTGCGTTTGTGGACCAGTGGTTGACTCAGAGGCGAGTCGGAAACAGCAGCCACCGCCTTAGATAGCGGTGAGTGTCAGCTATACGCGTCGCGGGACATTGCTACTACGACGGGCTGGTGAGCAAAGCGAAAGGTCATTTTTCCCTCCCTCCGCTTGTACGGGATCCGCAAGTCCGGTTTCTTCTGAGGAGGACGTAGACAGCTCTCTTAGGATCGAAGACCAGACTGTGGCAGCCATCCATCCTTTGAGAGTTACGCATCGCGGACGGTGAGTCGGTCCGGTCTCCTTTGGAAAGTATGTAGACAGCCCTCTTTGGATTGAAGAACAGGCTGTGGCAGCCATCCAGCCTTTGAGGGCTACGCATCGCGGACAGTGAGTCGGTCCGATTTCCTTTGAAGAGGACGTAGACAACTCTTTTGGGATCGAAGACCGGACTGTCGTCAGCCATTCGTCCTTTGATAGATACGCATCACAGACGGTGAGCATATCCAGTCTGGCTATCGCGGAGAGAGCTGGGACCTTCGGCTCTGTCGCGCATCTAAATTTCGGTGAATTTTGTTAGCAGCAATGAGGCGACGACAGATGTGGCCACTTACTGTCCAGTGATAGCTGAAGATCGGCGATGGAGGGTGAACATCACCGGCCGTAGCGAATCTACGCAAGGGATGCAGAATGCATCCGGAGGAGTGACGATTGAATCAGGAAGCGGTCGCAATGTGGCGGAATGCCTGGCTGACCCATGATGAGAGCGAGAGGGTGATTGAGAGGTATCGGACGTAGCTGGGATGAGTCTATGGAGTATGAAGTGTAGCATGAAGGATGGTATTTATACAAGCGAGAGGAGGCCCAAGCTCATCCACGCTTTGAACGCCACGCTCGGCAGTGACTGGGCCATGGCCACGGGCCACCAACAGCTTCCACATTGTGACGCGGCGCCTTGTAAGCAAGTGGCCAAAGCACTGAGCCTGATTCGTAATAATGATAAGGTGTGCAAGCACTTATTTTCACAAGAAACATACCTAGAAATATGTCACTCGTGGTTGAGGTTGAAACTGAGCCACTAAGAACAAGTATGATGGTCGCCATAGGAGCATGAAATGTTGAGGATACATACCAGGTACATAGCGCAATGCTGGAATCGCTGCGTCGGTGGCCATACGATAACTTTAGAAACCTCAATGACAACCATCTGTACGATGTTGACATCCCGAAGGACCTCGTGTACATCAAGTCTCACAAACAATGGATTGAGCAATCAAATGCCCACTTAAATGCATAATGCTCAAATTGATTTTGTGCAAGGCTGCTTTTCAACTCGCCCCTGCCATAACCCAATTCTCAGTTAACCATACAGATAGTGATCGTGCTCTCAACTCCAGAATAATTCGTGTCCTTTAAAATGCAGCATATGTGTCGTGGCCGAGTTGGATAAATGGGTCAGATGCTGGCCATGAAGTTGCTGAGGTTTGATTGTCATGATTGTTGTCCAACAGGTATACGGCGTTACCAGCGAAGCCACCGGCGGCAATATCCGAATCCGAATGAGGCCATGCTGGGATTGGACGCCCCTTCCTCCACCTGCCACACTGCTCATCATCTTGCACCCTCGGCCGTCCCGCACCTGCTTTCCAAAGAACTAGTGATTGCTTTTGCACAGATTACAGACGTGATCCTTTTGCGTCGCCGCTCCTCCTGAATCTGGGTGGTGTCCCATATCTTCTGCGTCAGTAAACCTGCACCCCGCTGGCTGACAAAATCGGGCTAGGACCGCCAACCGCCTATGTAATGGTTTGCGTGATGGGCTTCTAGCGGTCACAATCTGACAAACTTTGGCATCATATTTCTATCAAAACCGTCTGGCTTGTGCAGTGTGTATTCGCCCGGCCTTATGTCAAGAGCATGATCGGCGCGTCGAGGTACAAGCTCAAGCTGATCTACAGTACTTCAAACGCACGAAATACGACGACGTTCCTCTTTTTTCAACCTTCTCCATCATCGCTCAAAGGTTCAAAGAACGGTTTCCACGCAGGATAGTTTCCACATCAAATGCCCGCAAAGTCATTTATACGGAGATGAGGTACAGAGGCTTGGAGAAATTAGGTCGATAGTGAGTGTGCTTCTTGAGACCTATACGCGTAGAGCGGCAAACAGTCGTTATGACCGGACGTCGCTCATCACGGTGTTTGTCGTCTGCTTTTTGGGTGTTATCATCACCCCAAAGAAGATCGCTGTGATTTTATCGCTGTGATTTTCTCACCTTCCGTCAGCGCCACAAATTATAAGGCATCTTACGAATTGATGTCGGTCGTATGCGTCGTCGTTTACGAGCAATATTTGTACGTTGCGAGTCGATTAAGGGGCAAGTTTGCAGCTGTACTTTGAAAGACGACAGGCTCCAACTTCGCTCAATGCAAGTCGTATACCAAGTTGGAAGGGATGATATATGCAGGTGAGTGATGAATTAGACTTGGCGAGATATAAGCTTAAAGAACAAAATACTTACAGCCGACTTGGGGTCAGCGTTGTGTTGGATTGGCGAACCGAGATAACCCCCCGACTACCATGTTCGCGTTCCGAGAAGTGACGATAGAATCAGGAAGCAGCAAAGCCGGGAAATTCTCATCGCTTTGAACGTGATGTCCACGACCTCGGACGATGATGAGAGAATTCAGTGGGCTTATGCTACGGTCGACAAAGCCATTTATGCTGACAATAGGGGGTCTTAGCGGCCTGCGCTTGACTAGAGCCACGCGCCGCGACACCACATCATACGCGGGCGCCATTTATTCACGGCCAGGCGGGCCCCGAAATATCACGGAATCCGGGAACTAGGTACTTCAACATACTGAGCTGATAGATTACATGGTCCTTCTTTGCTTTGTTCGACTATCACCGTACGGATCTGCCTACGTCTCGCATCTCAGCTTTGTGGTGTTTTGTTCAAGAGAATGGTTGGCCCCGCCCATGTGAAACCCTGCTGGTCCCTGGAGCACGCCGTACAACATTCCTTGGAGTACGGAAATTCCCGGTCGGCCAGTATCGATTAAGCGCCTAGCTTGAACTTGTTGTCGTCTCCGGCTCGAAACTCATTCATTTTCTACTTGCACGAGTTGTCTTTCTTGTGTTTTGAACGATGAATATGAAGCTTTTGTTCACCTTTTTCTTCTCATTCCTTTTGGATATGGAATCTGGCTCTATCCCAGTGCGGCTTTCGGTGGCTCCGCCATATCCTTTGGTTCTCTTCGCGGCAACTTGGCGACAGCGCATACTTCATTTCTGCAATAATTCTATGGGTACATTTCCCGTTCACATATCTCAAAATAGTATAGTGTACGTGGCCCATAATTTCTTACTATGAACGCGCGATTGTACTTTGGTGAGTGGTCATCGTTCTTCCATACTCAGAACCTCTATTCACGTAATACATTTAGTGTGCAGTTCGGGAGAGCGGTTGATATCCATCCGCACACTTTGATATAGTGTTCATGCACCTTATCTCCTATCTAGCACGGTGAGTGCCCTGGGTTCGGCGGCACTTTATGCACGTTCCCTCATCCGTGGCGTTTCTGTGCTTTGCCATCATTATCTGTTGACTATGTCGGATCCCGTGTCTTCTGTGTTGCGTAAAACCTGTCGTTGGACTGGCTGGGACCTTTGCGTGATGATTCTTCTGCACCTCAGTCACTACACCCCCCAGGAAGTATGATAATGCCCTGCCAAGCGACACCGTAGGCGGTGCTGAAATGCGCCCGATGGACCAGAGTCCGGCTCTCTGTCTAACGGGGATGGATATTTCGTCATTCGCGTAACGCATAACAGCATCAAAATGATTCAGTTGTGCTGTGGCTCTCCGACGAGCCGCCGTAACTGGAGTGTGCGGTACGAGACCCGACTTATTTTGCAATGGGGATGTCAAATATGTCCGTTGATGCAAGATTCTCGCACCAACTTGACTGCTAAGCGTCTTCGCAGATGAGCTTGACAAAACTTGAGTGTGCATTGTAATTATGCCATTACGATATGCAGCCGCCTCTGAAAAGATCACTGATGATTGATGAGATGGCGTGCATGAGCGCTGCCGGCTGCAATCCACACGTTGCCGTGTATATGCAAGCTGAGACAACTGTACTGAATTGTGCTACCTCATGTCGTTCATTTACTCTCTGAGGGTCATTGTCAATATCTTGACCCTATTGCCACTTCATCCAAATCGAGATGAATGAATACCAGATATGATCTACGGAGATCGAGGAAAGGAGTCCGGAACAGAGTGTTTCACAGATGGTGATCTCCGGGGTCTGATAGATATTCGTATCATCCATTTTCTTGTCATGACTTGAGTCTCCTATCGTGACTTTCCCCCGCAAATGTTATGTGCAATGGAAGCTAAGTGAATCCGTCCAATGTCGGTTCGAACTTCTAATCAAAGCCGCGAAATGCATGCTGGCGAAGCGTTCCTGTCGCCATATTGCGCCACAGAACATCGTTGGCGGATCCGGTGCGCAACCGATTGATAATGCACGTGATTGGCCGGTGAGACCGGGCAACAGTCCAGTGGCGGTGTGGTTGTCCAGCTCTCCGTCACGGTCCAAGCTGTTTCATGTTGAAGCACGATTGATGTGTAGTCCCACAAACTCCAGAGAGCTCTCTATGACGCGTCTAGCCACAATTGCTGAAGCTTCGTGCTTATCTTCCAATACTCGACAGACCTCTATGCGTGTGTTGCCGAACATGTAGTGACATGTGTCACTGCTCGTCTGAACCGCCGGACTTCGAGGCGAGCAGTATCATTGACATGTACGACGCAATTGGCAACGCTGTCTTAGATCGCCAAATTTACGTGATGTACGTTCATCAATCAGGCCCGAGCACGCGCTTTTAAAGGTACGCAAACATTATTGTTTGTATATATATTGGAGCAAGACCACATACGATGTTGTACTCTTCCGTGCGCTGCGCCTCCAATGTCCAGCCATGGCCATTCCACTCTCTCAGTATCCTCTGTCCCCAGTGTGGTCCCGGATTCAGAACCTGTGACCCTCGTCGCCAATGCTTCACAGGATCGCGCGTTGGGCATCCTTCAAGCTCAACTGAAGGCTGGCGAAAGTGATTCCGAATTGTATAAGAACAAGGAGGTGCGAACCAATCTTTTGAGCTCATGCTGTGAGCTCATACATATTTTTCTGGCTTTAGATTCAGTTTGTGGGTGGAGAGGAAGAGAGCTGGTCCGATGACCCTATTAACCCTCGAAACTGGTCGCTTGGGAAGAAATGGACTATGGTTCTTGTTGTGAGTCTTTGCAGAGATTGTGTACTCCCTATCAGCGATTGAGTATATGACCAGGTTTCTCTTTACGCTTTTGTCACGCCTCTTGCAAGTTCCATGATGGCTCCTGGTCTTCCCGATATCGCCGAGCATTACATGATCATGAATTCCACCGTCGTGGCATTAACGCTTAGCATCTTCCTACTTACGTTCGCATTCGGGCCTTTGATATTCGGACCACTTTCTGAGATATTTGGTCGCACCTGGGTATGCGGTTCTGGTCTTGCGCATGTCTTCGATGAAATCTGACGAATTATGACAGGTTTTCCATATCTCTAACATATTTTTCCTTGCATTCAATCTCGGCTGCGCGTATGCCCAGAATACGGGCACACTTATCGGTTTTCGGCTACTCGGTATGTTCTCTGGGTAATGACTCAAACCTCATTTTAAACATAATGTCTGCAGCTGGGTTTGTTGGTAGTGCGCCTATCACAGTCGGCGGCGGTACCGTCAGCGATTTGTTCTCTGAACGGGACCGTGCGTCGGCCATGGCCGTCTTCACAATAGGCCCCCTGGTTGCTCCAGTCGTGGGTCCGATTGCTGGCGGGTTTATCACAGAGACGATTGGTTTCAAGTATGTGTTTGTTATAATCGCCGGTCTATGTTTCCTTGCGGGACTCTTCGGCATTCCGTTCCTTCGCGAAACATACGCCCCGGTTATCCGTCTGCGGCGGGCAAAACGTTCGGGCGACGCCGAAAGGGCCATTCGGGAGTTGTTCCCGGAGTACGACAACAAGCTGCAGCGGATGTGGGCCGATATGACACGGCCGTTCATTCTGCTCACACGTAGCCTTGTGTGCTTTGTATTGAGTTTATATCTGGCCTTGTGAGTATTGTCAGGATTAATTGTTCGTGAGGTTGCTGACAATAGTTATAGGATGTATGGTCAGTAACAAGTCAACGTATTACTAGAGCTTGCTACTAAGCGATTTCATTTTTAGGTATCTATTATTTGATGTTCACGACATTCCCTCGTAGGTTGTCTTTTCTTATGTATGAAGCAAATACTGATCACTGATTTTCAGAACTGTTCATTGGGACGTACCACTTTACGACCGGAACGAGTGGTCTTGCATATATAGGGCTCGGTCTGGGCTTCATGTCGGCTACTGTTGTCGGGGCGAGCGTCGCGGATCGCCTATACAAGAGTGTAAGTACACTTGACGAGATGAAACACATTTGTACTCAAGCGTTTCCTCATCGCCCTAGCTTGCACGTCGAAACAACGGTATTGCAAAACCTGAGATGCGCATTCCCGCGCTTTTCTTCGGATCTCTTTTCGTGCCTATTGGGCTATTGTAAGGCTTACTGCGGCTCTTTACTTGCTTGAGCTGACGCTATTCCCCAGCTGGTATGGCTGGTCTGCGCAGGCAGGGTTACACTGGATTATGCCCATAATTGGCACCGCTATATTTGGATTTGGGACAATGACAGCTTAGTAAGTAGCTCAAAAGTAGTCCTGGAACTATTTGACTAATGCGCCGACAGCCTTCCTATTCAGCTATACCTTGTCGATACATTCACTCACGCCGCGAGCGCGACCGCTGCAGGATCGGTACGCGTCCCGCTGTCGGACAATGTTCACCCTAACGTTGATTTTTCTCGCTCAGGTGTTCCGCTCGCTTCTGGGCTTTGCATTCCCCCTCTTCGGTGAACAGATGTTCACCAGGCTTGGATACGGCGGGGGCAATTCCCTCCTCGCAGGCCTGGGCATCGTCATCGGGATCCCGTTCCCTATCTGGCTATATATCACCGGCGAACGGGTCCGCGCGCGGAACAAACTCTCTCGCCAATCGGTCATATACCAAGTTCGAATCTAAAAAAAAAACCTCATCTGATCCGCTCGTTTGAAAAATTTGGTATAATACGGTCGCCTCTTTGTTAATTGTACGTGGGGCTGGAGTGTTAGAGTCCACGACTGCATCATACTTCACTAGGGTCTAATGTTACGAGTCAATTTGGAGAGTGGTGTATACACTGTAGGATACTTGAGCTTCTTGGTGCTCATTCCATCTTCTACGACCTGGTTGCTGCTGATATTAGGAATTAAATTATTCTACATAGTGCATTCTGAACGAGCGAGCGAGCGATTCCCTATTCAATCTCTTATATTGTGTGTTCGTGTGTTGCTCCATCGTACTGGGCATATACCATAACCGAACGCAAGTATATATGCGTATAGTAAGTTGACTTTGTGGTCGTTAGGTCGTCTCGCTTCAGGGAGCTGAGGGGCTTAAGCCCCGATTTGAGTCGCTGATGTCTCAGCCAATCGCAGGCTGATCACAAAACTTAAGCCCTCGGCTCCCCGAAGTGAGAAGTTTGTCTCCCGTCCATCTTGAAGTCGTGATTTCCAGCATGCGCGTTTACTTAGGCAATATCTTTCCTTCGCAATACTGGTGGCACTAGGTCTATCGGAGTTTTATGTGGTGCGTCTACGCGCATCACGTCTGAGGATTCCCGCGTCGTATCCCATTCATCTCTGTCGATGCGCGCGTTTCCTGGCGAATATTAGACTCAAGAGGCTATGGGAATGCATCAACAAACAGTATATACGCACTCAAAGAAATCTTAAACAGAATCCAAACTCTGCTCCAGCAATGCTTTCGCCTGTGGTGATCGCGGCCTCAACATACACTTCACATCCTGCGGGAAGCTGATTACGCAGAGTTGATAAAAAGTACTGAACCACACATGCATAGACGACGAACCTGATGACTCCGGAAGTGTATGCAATATCCGGAACGACAGGCTTTCCATAGGCGTCCAACATAGGCACAATCTCGCATGTCGCGAGGATCGTGGCTGCAAAGGCGAAGAGCGTCCCTTGTGCCATTTGCATCCCAGGGCACGCCCTTCTGCCGAACCCAAACGCGACATCCGTCACCTTCTGCATCTCTGCATCGGACCCCCGAAATCGCTCGGGCCTGAACGCTTTGGGTTCAGGGTACGCTTCTGGGTCGTGTAGCATGTGCCTGTGTGCGAGGGGGTGAGACATACGCGCTTGAATGTGAACGGGAACATACCATATGTTAGCGATGATCAGAGAGCCTTTCGGTACGTGTATGCCATTGTATACGTCGTCCTGGTCCAGAGCGTGAGGGATACCTGTAGGATGCATTGACATTTGAACAGGTACGTGAAGCAGCAAATTTCTGACCGATGGGGGCCGCGGGGGCCCAACGGTAAATTTCGGTGATGATACTTCGCACGTACGGCAGGGACGCTCTGTCGGAGACGGATGGCAACCTGCCCGAACCTATGACGGCATCTATTTCTGCGCGGCCCTTCGCCTGAACTTCAGGATAGTGCAACATGGCGAGGAAGAACGACAGCAAACTAGAAGTGCTCTAAAAGCATCAGCCGTGTTAATTCTCGCCGGGAGAGCAAAGAGCAGCTTGAGGCGCACAGTATCGAGCGAGCCGCCGAATAAGGCAGCAGCCGTGAGGACGAGCGAAGCTTCGTCCGCTTCTGAAACGGGCTCTTCTTTCAAGAGCGTGGTTGCGCACAAACTGGGCATTCGTGCCGTACCCTTGAGCTGTCGCACACAAGATTAATTAATTATCATCGTCTACTTGCATGTGTATCTGCCGCTCACGATATTATCTTTTGCCCAGAGGAATGGCTCCCACGTGGCAACCTCCATGTTCTTCCGGTACGTCTTCGCAAGCTGAAGAAACCCAGTTCCCGGCATCCACTCGGGTAGGTACTGGACTGCACAGTTATATTGGGTGAATTCTGTGCGCTATCGAGTGCACTTCCAGTGTAACGCACGCTGAGGAATGAAATCGACGAGGAATGCACCAGGTCTTGAAGCTTGGTTAAAGTCCTCCATGGTCACAAGCGCCCATTTGTAGAAGGGATCCTCTTCGGACTTGACCACGTATCCGAAGTTGGCTTCGAGAATGACGGCGGCCATTCCCCTGTAACAAAAGTAAGCGCAAATGACACATATCCTCATATTCTTTCGCTCTTACAGACTCAATTCGCTCTGTAGGGAAGTCGGATTTTTCAAAAACCTTTGAACGAAAGTCCTAGCTTGCGCCTCCTGGACATGCGAGTAGCGAAGTACGGCTGTCTGGTTGTACTCTTGATTCGCAAGCTTGCGCTGTCTGCGCCATTCTTCTCCATACGGTTGCAGAGCTAAACTCTGGCCCATTCCTGCACTGTGTGAGAGCGTCAATGTCAGCGTGAAGTCGTATTTGTCGTTTTTGTGGTACTCACAGATCGCCTGCCATGACCTACGAAGCGTACGATTCACAGGATGAGAATGTCCAATGCGTTCCCGCACTCACTAGATGAGGCCGCCCAGAGTATATCGATGATCGCTTGACCAAGAGCTCTCTAGCTATGTTGGCAGAATTGAGGACTATAATAGGCTGTCCCACTGCATCTAAATGTATGATATCGCCTGAGAAATGCAAAATGAGTCGTGTGTTTTCGGAAAATGATGCGCACAAACCGTAGGTCTTGGCCCACTTCGAATAAGTTAACCATGGATGTTCAGAAGGGATTTGGTGAACGTTGCCGATAATGGGCCACAGAGTGGGACCCGGAGCGATGGACAATGCCTTACGGCTTCTGAAGAGGTGCTTCGCAACCGGATAGATGAGGACGACTGCGATTCCAGAAGCGACAACGTTGAGTTGCAGTACCGTTCGCAAAGCTAAAGCAATAACAAGAGTAGAAGATACCGGTATAATGGAGTCGACACAAAGCCGCTGATACCCAGTCGTCATCGAGGAACTCGCATCAAGACTGGAATGTTGAATATGAACGACAGAAGAGGTGATGCTGGTGCTGGTGCCATTGGAGAAGATTTATTCAGCCTGGTATTGTTTCAAACGCGTTTCAAGGAACCCGAGATATACCTTCACGGATCCTCACTTCATGAATTAGAGTTAAATTCAACTTACTGTGATAGCGCGCGTCAAGTTCTATCAGTAGGCCTCCCGTAAGCAGTCCTTAAATGGCTTCTTAAGTGTAACTACAGCTGTGTAAGGACGATCTACAGTAAGCTCTATTCATGCGGAACTATTTTGCGCACAAGATAGAGAAAAGCACGCTACATGAAGGATCGACGATGAGCTGTGGTCTTGCGGAAAGCTTGTTGTTTACGTTAGTAGTAGAAATTGAGGAAATCATGACGAATGTGTATACGTAAAACTCAGAAACTCAACCATCCACATCGTCCCCGCATCCGTTCATTAAACGACCATCCTAAGCTTGAGCTTGTCCCCCTCGATGATCTCCTGCTTCTTCGCAGCCAGCTCATCTACATCCCATAGTGCACTGACATATCGTCCTGCGAGCCACTCCCTGCGCTCGCGCACGAGCCATACGAGCATGTGTGCAGAGACCTCGGGTGTGTCGAAGTGTCCGTTGTTACCTCTCTTCTCCTCCGGCGCACTCATAGACAGGTCGGTCGCAACTATTCCCGGATGGACGCAGAACGCCAGGACACCCTTATCCCTGTACTCTGCCATTGTAAGCTCCGTGAACCGCATTAGTGCGGTCTTCGATGTCTGCATACCAATTCATAAGCCATTTCATCCGATCAACAAAGCATAAAACGTACGATATACGGAGAATATTCTGGCACACAGACCAGCCCTGCCATGCTCCCCACATTGACGATTGTCTTATCCCCGCCACATTCCAGCAGCAGTGGCAGCGCCGCATGGGTAACAGCGTACACACCGAGGATATTCACCGCAAAAACCTGCCATGCCTCCTTCGGTGATGCGTCCGCGATAAGCCCTATTTCGCCGATGTAACCCGCGTTGTTCACCACAATATCAAGTCGACCGAAAGTCTCCCTGACCTTCTCCACCGCCGCGGAGACCTGTGCAGTGTCGGGAGGAT